TACTGTTGGTGTGGTAGTGGTCCATTAGACCACATGTTTAATAGTTTACGACAAAGTGTTGTCTTGCCTATACCAGGAGGACCGTCTATTACTACTCTGAGAGACAGAGAACTATTTGTGGGTTGGAGGATATGTTCAACACTTATTTCATTGTTTCCAGTTAGTTTGACTGTTTTGTCAACTTGTCCTCTTAGCAGGTGCCATGCTGATTCTGCTTGTGTGCTGGAGTCTCTTTGTTCTATTAGTGCTAGTCTTCCAAAGTAATCTTTTCCAATTCTTGGTGGCCAGTCTGTAGCAACAATAGGTTGGTATTTGTAGTGCTGTCTCATATTGTCAGCATATCCTTGAACATTATCAGGTATTGAACTAATGGACGTGACATCAGGTATAGACTGACCTATTGAGATTATATAATATTGATCACTGATAATGTACACACACACTCACCTAACTGGTGTAATATAGAGGTAGCAATATTTGTTAGTGTATAATCTTGTTGGTTTATTAATACCTGGCATACATCAATAAGATACTGCTCTGGATTGTGAGAAGATTCCAAATGTCCATGTAATACACTCATTACTTTCATTGCTTTAGTATAATCAGTCATAACTCCCATTACGAGTACATCATCAAAAGCTTGTTGTGGTATCAATCCTTTAGCATGTAATTCAGTTGTTGTTTTGTAAAGATTATGTGAGATTTCAGTAGTCAGTATATCAGAATGAGTTCTTAATATATCCTTTGGATTATATTTAGTAGTGATTCTGTTAATGAGTGTTGAAAATGTATTAAGTGTATGTTTACCTGATGTAGTACTAGTAACAGGTTCAGAAACTGATAATGATACAGTAGACACTACTGGTACAGTACTAGTAGTAGTATCAGTAGTACCTGTTATACATCTAATATTATTATTAATGCATAAATACATGATCATACCTCCTGTACATTGATGAACTTGTTGTAACTGATCATTAATAGTTTGAAATAAATTGGTCTCTTCTCTTTGAGTCAATGCATTGAGTACATCTCTCCATGTTGCTCTAGGATGTGTATTCAACCATTTTGAAAATAAAGCTAGTTTTTGATGTTTAGCATCCACTTGTTCTATTACTGAAATTTCGTGCTGTGTTATTCCAGGTAAGAGAAGACCAAATGGTTTCCAGTCAACAAGTGGTTCAAGCCATTGAAGTAATAGGAAGATATCAGGTTCATCATCAATCATAGGACCAGGATTGAGTTCAACATCTCCTGATATGAGGAGTAGCATACGTAGACAAACAATCAAATAGAGATCATTGTATAATAGGTTAGAACTGCTGCCTCCGGGTAAGACTACTGACTGGAGGTAATTTGTATCAGTAACAGTAACACCAGTAGTACATTGTACTTGGTAGCAGTTACCTAATAATAAAATACCAGTAAATATACAAGTACAAAGTTGCAATTGTTGTTTGCCTGTTGAGGGAATCATCAAGATGTGTCTTAATAAAGAGAGAAAAAGGAGGAAAGCAATAAGAAACAGAGCTACTGGCAGTTTAGATGTCTTCTCTCCTGATGTAGTACTGCCTGACTTGCTGTCTACTGCAGCCTTGAATGAGTGAGAGTGGCGGCCATTAGCTGGTCTACTGGAGGCAGCTTGACAGTAGTTCCACAGTCCAATACTTGCTCTCCATTGAGAGACATCAATCATCTTGTAATTATTAGTAAAATATAATTAAAATGAACTATAATATACTTACCTCTATCACTGTTAATGAACAACTGTTGTAAGATAAAGAAATGAAAAGATACAGTCAATATAAAGAAGAACAAGTTACAAGCCAATTGTGCTGTAGTTGCATAAGGGAGTGGCTCAATATTAGACTACAAGCTCCTCCTCTTAAATCAAAATGTCTTCAGCAACCTTTTGAATACATAAAGAAAAGTGAGAATAAATAAAAGTATACAAAGTTTAATATTTGGGTAATATTTAATGCTCTCTCTCCTTCATTCCTAATAGTAATTTCTAGTAATACATGGTGTACATAAAATGAAGTACATTCAAGTATTGAAGATGAGGAACAGTAAGTTAATGATGGAAGTAGTGACCTTCATTGAGATATTAGTACATTAAATCACTTTTAATATTGTGTACTAATGGTAGTGAATTTAATGAAGGATCTTTAAAAAATAAAATAAAAATAATAACGCCTTTAATTATTATTATTAATTAATAATGTTTTAATTAGTAGGGACACACCTCCAATACACATTAAATGTTAAAATTGGTACACACACAATTAAAGGTGGACTTTATTATCTCCTTTTCTTAATTAATTAATTATTTATTTTATTATAGTCTCATACACAATCAGACGTCACTTATGTCCCTCCCACTGATACAAAATCAAAGTCATTAGCCACACCCACTAATAGAACTGGAGGGGGCGGAGCTCCAAAAACATTGGCTGACTTTCAAAAATTGACAAGTCGTGGAAAGCAATCACCAGCTGGTCAACCAACCCAATCAAACAGACCAAAAGGTAATGAATATTAATTAATTAATAATGATAATAATGGGTTTTTTAGATAAACGTGCATTATTATCATTATTGTGTGTACGTAAGGACATCAGTACAACTGATGGAATAAATAATTAAATGGGGAGTGATTTCACATCCATTTGAACTTCAGCATTTTCTTAAAAATAGTCATAACTTGAAAAATTTATGTTGGAATCAACTCAAAACTTTCTACATGCATAAGGACATCAATATGTATCAAAAATTGTAATAAAAATTTGGGGGTGATGTGGGAGTCAATTTTTGGAAAAAACTATGGGCTTATAGTCTTGGGTATTTTTTAGGATTTTGGCATTTTCTTTAAATGGCCGTAACTTGAAAAATTAAACTCTGAATCAGCTCAAACTTGCTACACAGCATAAGGGCATCAATATGTATCAGAAAATGTAATAAAAATTGAGGGTGATTTTGGAGCCATTTTTTGGAAACAACCATGGGCTATTATAGCCTTGGGTATTTTTTTTAATTTTAGCATTTTCTTAAATTGGCTGTAACTTGAAAAATTAATGTCGGAATCAGCTCAAACTTGCTGCATAGCATAAGGACATCAATATGTATCAGAAAATTTAATAAAAATTTGATGTGATTTTGGAACCATTTTTTGGAAAAAAACATGGGCTATAGTACAGTGTATTGTTCAGAATTTTGATTTTTTCTTAAAATGGTCGCAACTTGAAAAATTGAAGTCTGAATCTGCTCAAACTTGCTACACAGCATAAGGGTATCAATGTGTATCAGAAAATGTAATGAAAATTTGGAATGATTTTGGAGCCATTTTTTGGAAAAGAAACCATGGGCTATATTTTTCAGAATTTTAGCATTTTCTTAAATTGGCCGTAACTTGAAAAAAATGAAGTCGGGATCAGCTCAAACTTGCTACACAGCATAAGGACATCAGAAAATGTAATAAAAATTTGGAGTGATTTTGGAGCCACTTTTTGGAAAAACCATGGGCTATAGCCTTGGGTATTATTTTGGCATTTTCTTAAAATTACCGTATCTCAAATAATTGAAGTTGGAATCAGCTCAAACTTGCTACACAGCATAAGGACATCTAAGTATCAGAAAATGTAATAAAAATTTGGAGTGATTTCGGAGCCATTTTTTGCAAAAAACCATGGGCTATAGTACAAGGTATTCAAATTTAGACAATTTTTAAAATGGCCGTAACTCAAAACGTCCAAGTCGAAATTAATAACATTTTACATAATTATTTATTTATTTAGTAAATTAATAAAAAATCAGTGAGACATACTGTTGACCTGAGGGCCGAAGCCATAGAAGAGAACATGTTACTAGCAGTTGAATCATTTCGAGCTATTGGTTGCTCTGTTACTGATAATATGGTGGAGGAACTAACAAGAGGAGACAAAGGAACAATTGATAAACTAATAATAGAATTAATTAAAGTGAGTGTGTATTAATTAGTGGGTGTGGTTGACCATGCCTCTATCCTCTTTCTCTCCAGTCTCGTCTATTCCATATGCCTGGTATGGAGGATGAGCCTTCAAGTACTTTTAATGATTTGAGTACTTTAATGTCTAAACTAGGACTGACCTATACTGATAGTGGGGGGACTAATGGAGGAACTGGAACTGACTCAAGTGATGGAGGAGGAAGAGGTAAGACACTGGGGCTGGGATATTACTGTATAATTAGTAATAATATCATAGTCTGAACCAAAGACACTTTACGTAATAATGTTTATTTATTTATTTATTATTTATTTAGTAAATTAATGAACAAATCAGTGAGACATACAGTAGACCTGAGGGCACTAACAAAGACCCCGCCCCCTACTGCCAGCACTGCAGAAAAGACTGAAGCCATAGAAGAGAACATGTTACCGTAAACGTAAAAAAATTCATGGTAAAACAATTCGTGGTTTAGCTCCAGAAGGCCCAGAAATTAATTTTCGCTGGAATTAACTTTCGTGGGGGGTCTGTCCGTTCGTTGCTAAATTTAAATTAAACGTGTACATGCACGTGATCAGAACAAAAAGGGTTAATTTTTAATTTTGTGTATTTTTTGTCCCACGAAGAACACAAAAATTAAATTGCAACGAATTTTTTACGTTTACGGTACTAGTAGTTGCATCAGCTCGAGCTATTGGATCATGCTCTGTTACTGATAATATGGTGGAGGAACTAACAAGAGGAGACAAAGGAACAATTGATGAACTAATAATAGAATTAATTAAAGTGAGTGTATTAATTAGTGGGTGTGGTTGACCATGCCCTTCTACTCTCCCTCCAGTCTCGTGTAGTCCATATATCGTGTAGAGCCTTCGACCACTTAGAATTTTGTTGTGTGTATTTGATTTTGTATTTCAAATTCTATTGTATTTTTTATCATTTTTATAATAATTTTTAATGCCATTATTCCATGCAATAATTTATTTTATACCATGTAATAATTTGAAGAATATCTCAAAAAATTATCTACACATACTCTTGTTATAATTGAATACTATAGTGATAATTAACACTCCTACTATCAGTAAATCCTACTCTTGAGTGCATAAAAACAGATCTAATGTAATAAAATTCCCTAATAAATATTATTAATACATTATTGGTAGTGGTTTGTGTGGTTGTTCTTTCCTGTGTCTAGCAAACAATGTTTCCTTTTGACCTTCAAAAGTTTCCCACAGATATTGAGATTTGAAATGAATGTATTCAAGAGATGGATGGGTAAAAATAGTTTCATATAAATGTTGTATCAGTTCTTTCCAGTTAGGTTGAGACTCATTATTAATACATGCACACTCTATCCTCAGTAGTCTTATGGTTGTATGTGACTGTAACATGTTAGTAACAGCAGGTAGTACCTGTTCATAAAACAATGGTGTCATTATTTGTTTATTCTCTTTCTCACTACAGTTACTGTATGATTGATCTGGTTTGAGATCAACTTTAAGTTCTGTGAGATTGTTCTTTTGAGAGATAACATTAAAAAACCCTTGGTCTCTTCATTTAGTGGAATGGATACACTCAACTGCTGTAGACTGGTGTTGTGTCTGAGACCAGTTGTTAGGAAGGACAGAAATGAACTGGGAATGTTAATGTAACTATAAGCCCCAAGGTATTTCAGTGTTTGGTTTTGTGCTAGCATGTCTTGTAGACTAGTACCCATACTGCTGGTATATACTCTCTCCTCCTTTATCTTCACATTCAGAGCTTTAAGTGTAGTATTGGTTTGTAGAATAGTAAATAGTTCAATAGCACTCTCAGCTGTGTCTAGTGGTAAAGTAAGTGTACATAGACTGGGATGAGAGAGAAATAGAAGATGTGGTAAGTATTGTCCACTGGCAGGTAGTATCAGACAGTGTAATTCTTTGATATGTGGAAGGAGTGGTGTCATCAGTTTACTACTCCATCCTATCTCTAGAGCAGTCAGTGGTGTGTTCACCACTACTATATTCAGTGATGATGGTAGGAGTTTATCAGGTATGTTCAGTGAAAGAGCTTGTAATATGTTGTTGTCCTTTAGTAACTGCTCTATTACTCCATCAGGTATAGGAAGAAGAGCACAAGGAATGTTAGCATGCATACTTAAAGATGTTATAGTTTTATTCCTTGTTACTCCTCTAATGACAGCAGTGATAATTAATTCACTTGCTTCTTTACACTCAATCTTCATTTCTTGTAATGATGAATTCATTTTTATACATTTCTCAATTTCAGTGCACTTACCTGCTAGTTGTTTAGATCTGGTAGGAAAATCCAGAACTAAGTGCAATATCTTCAATTGAGGAAGATTGAAGAACTGTAATGCAAGATCGATATCTAATTTACAATAGCACTCCTGAATATTGTATATAAGTGATGATTGTAATAATTTGTGCAGTATTTCATCATTGGGTCTACTCAACTCTACCTCCAGTCTCTTACACTGGGTCTGTAGTGAGCTATTGGTTAGTGCAGGAGTGAAGACTGATAAATTCTGGTTAGATACAGTCCCCAGGTGCAAGTAACTCCATGTTTTGTTGGAATTGTCTATAAAATAACTGAGACACAACCAGTCAAACAATAATAATGTTACTCTACTCCTATCCAGACACAGTGAGTGTTTGTTCATGGATTTTGCTAATACTTGACATAATGTGGTGTTCTGTGATTCATACAGGAGTTGAAAAAGAAGAATTGGAATATTGTCCGAATCATCAGAGCTGACATGGTTGTATTGATCAGTCTTAGGATACTGATAGAAATGACACACGTCCAATCCAAATGATGGTTTCCACTTGCACTGTAAGTCAAGTTGTTGTTTATTAAAATACTGTTGATAGCTCTCATGTTCAAGGTGAGTTAGACCTGCCACAAACCTCAGACACATTCGAAAGTGATCATCATCAAAGTGATCCTTAAACACTTCCTCTGTCTTCTTCTCATGCCTAGCTATCCACCATGCAGCTAGAAATTCCTGTATACTCAAGTGAAGGAACTGATACTTTTTTTCATCATATTCAGCAAATGTTGTCATCAATCCAAGATAGTCTTCCTTGACTGCCTCACTCAGTGACTGCAGTTGATGTGAAGAGAATGTCATTCTTGTATTAGCCAGATCTCTTGTAAAGGTTTAGCTAATTGTGTTGGCAATGAAGAAAGACTTGCTAATGTATATGGGTCAATGTCACGTTTTTTAACATGTCTTCTGATTGTTTGTAGGATAAAGTTCTCGTACAGTTGAGTGAGTGTTGTTGGTAAGTGTCCTCCTTCCTTACAATAAACTAAGATGACCATGGAACAGACTAGTGGTACATAACACAATGATTGGACATCATTTCGTACTTCAAGATCATAAATGAGTTTCACTGCTAGTTGTGAGTCCTTACTGCTTTGAGTAGTTGTGAATGGCCTGTATCTATTTTCATCAATGA